GTCCCCATCGCCGATGTCTCTTCCAACTTTGGCAGAACGCCGAGCGAAAGTTGACCGTAGCTACGAGAGTCAAGCGGCACTTGTGACAACAGTAATCAGGCACCACCCGAAACGCCTTGTTAACAAATTTCCACTAGACTTGAAATCTGCCATTTACAATGATGAAACAGCCGAACACCATCCATAGGCGTCTGCACCTGCAGCGCCATGGTCTTTTGTCGAGCTATATATTCTCCCGAGACATCAGTTACGTACGCAGAGATTGCTGCAATTGTCAGTCAGAGTGCCGCCCTTGCGGTCTCTTCTGTTGTAAACATCTCTTTCGTAACGAAAGAGACAAACAGTGGGCAATCATAATTTGGCAGAAGGTCAAGACAGACGATTGCACTACCATGCAGCTCAAAGAAAAAGAGAATTAACAAATGTGCCCTGACTGTTTAGTGCTCAAATGTCCCAAAAGCTACCGCGATAACATTGCAAAGTAAGTTGTCGAACCACCAAGGCCAATGGAACCCATTGTGTATTCTGATGAGGGTCCCATTCAAACCAATAAATTTAATGCGGGTTACTCATCAACCGAGTTCTTCACACTATGGGGAACCCAGACTTATTCGAGTAACACTAGAATCCTCCACTGATGTTGAAAACATCTTGCTCTCTGCAAGTGCGCTACAACACGGATCCTATGAATAAATAAATACTTGTCCTTATGCCCACTGGAGATGGCGACAATCAACAAATTCACAGAAGTAGGACACAACAAGCAAGAGCGCCTTAACACAAGCTTCATCCATGGCGTTCCAGACCTTCCTTCCACTGACGTTCAAAAGACCGAAAATCACGATTTAAAACTGTGACAGCACGTTCGCTCAACAGGCTACCCCTCACCAAATTATGGAGGATGTGGTCCGAGTGTCCTCAAACTGTGGTTCAGTCAGAGCATATCGCAACGGATGTTTTGGATCGATGGCAGAGAAATCGGAAAAGCCTTCCGTCTGAACTTCGGTTAAAGACTGCCGAAGCTTCGCAAAGTCCAGCTATCAAAGCTTCTGAAGCAGTAAACGCACTGTCACAATGGCTTCGCTTGACCGCTCCTTTACTGGACTCTGACGTAGGTCTGAACGAGGATTGCGATGCGCCTTGACCGTATCAAGTTGCAGACTAGGTATCAGTATCCCATAAAAAACGATCAACGGCCGACTTTACCTCGGTCGGCATTCTCTCCCACTTCACATTTTCAACCCTCTGTGGTCTCCTAAAGACCGAAAAACTAGCCCGCTTTATACGAATGCCCAGGATCTTTACAATAAGCTATCTGAACTAAAAAATCGCAAAGTTTCCGAGTCATACGATAGCATAGGCATCACTTAGACATGCTTATACTCTGAAATGACGGACGCTGAAGTTTCGCTACCGGGCATGTCGCTCAACCAGAACAGTAGACTCACAAAAGGAGGAGGGCTATTTCTGTATTACCGAAGCGAGTTACAGTGCGAGGCCGTGGGGGATTCCGTCTGGCAGTTCTTCGATTCTCTTGGGTGCCGCTTGCAATAAAAAGACAGAGACACCTGCCTTATTGTATTGGTGTACCGCCGCCTAACTCTACACGCGAAACGGACTGCCACCTTGAGCCTGCTTTAAGATGCACTCTGAAAAGCAGATACACACATTTTTATCCTGGGTGATTTCAACACACATTGTTTAGAAACCGTTGTCACGATCTTAGAACGATTCAAAGCCGCTATGCAGCAGCTCATAACCAGTGTTCCGCTTTACAATCACCTCACTTTTCCCACTCGGTGCAGAACTGGTAATAGGCCATCTGTGCTGGATCTTAGGCATCTGGTTGATGTGGTGGTTGTCGACTGCCCGTTGGATCACAGTGATCATGTGCTCCTTAGTTTCAACTTCGTCTGCTATAAGGAATATCGGAATGAGAACTATGAAACTGTGCGAGCCATCACAACCTACGACCGATTAGCCCAGCTTATCGGCACCACAACCTGGTCGTTTCTTGCCGAAGAACCCCTGGAAACGCTTCGCTCGAGTTCGTTAACAAATTCAGTCGGTTGATTAGAGATGCTTTAGAAATAAGAGTTTGCAATGGGTCTAAATCAGCTTCTTTCGTTGGGAGGAGAACTCGAAAACAGTGGTTAGTACGCAATGCAGTATCGCGAGCGTACAGAGTAGGTCCAACACCAGAAACATGGGGCAAGTACGTAGCCTAAGATAATCACTGCACTCAAATGCTCAGACAACACAAAGCCGCATATCATCAGGACATGACAAAACCTCCATCCTTGACTAGAAACTGCTGTACAAGTATGTCAATAGCCTGCGAAACTGAAGCAAGGATTTACTCCACTCAAGTCGGCTGATGGCCCAACATGAACGGCTGTGGAAGCAGCAAACGCTCTGCAGATGCACTATGCCCGCACGATTCCGTGGGTCTTGCCATCCAGTAATTTCCAGCTTTTTTCGCCCTGCCGTCAGGACTCACCCACATCTCTTTTACCGCTGAAGTTGCCTTTCAAAAACCGACGTTTCTGCGCAACCACAGCTCCCCGGATGTTAATACCATTCGTTCAGAGGCAGTTGGAGCAGCAGCAAGACAACTAGCGAAACCTTTGCCCCAGTTTTTCGAGCGATGTTTAGACCAAAACCAGGTTCCTGCCTTGTTGAACTTGGAATAGTAACTGCGATTCACATAGGCGGAATCAGAACTGAGCCTTCAAACTATCACGCGGTAACTCCTCTCTCAATACTGTCCAAGGTCATGGTATCCATCGTTGCCGATACGCTGGTTAGTTATCTTGAGAACTGTAACATTAATACGCCCGAGCAGCACGGTTTCTGTCGACGGCAATTATGTACTACGAATTAACTAATGGCATGCAGTAGTTGGACCGAATAAGCTGACGCTGGAGAAGGCCTTAGTGTCATCTACCTGGATTTTTCGAAGGCAATCGATCGTCTAGGTCATGGGATACACCTTTCCAAGCTTCAGTATTGCGGACTCAGTGATTCACTTTTAAACTGGATCGCCAGCTTTCTTTCAACGGCATTTGGTTGGCAGAGTTCGGTGCTCTTTATCTGACTCCATACAAGTCGAGTGTGGTGTGCCACAAGGCTCAGTACTAGGCCCACGATTGTTTTTGGTGTTTATTAATGACCTCGCGCTAGCATTCGCTTCAAATATCCTACTGTTTGCCGACGATATCAAGATTCGGCACTGGATTCAGGTGAATGTGGACCAGCATGTACCTCAGAGTGACCTAGACGCGATACACTGGTGGTCAGCTCAGAATGTACTACATGTTCGTGTTAGTAAATACAAGGTAATCTCCGTACCACACCAGCTCAACTACTCCTGCAGGCTCGGAATACATGTACTGCAGCAATCCTCCGTCGAACGTGATCTGAGTGTGCTGGTTCAAGATGACTTAGGTTGTTCCCGGCAATCCGAAAAGGCTTCAAGAGTTGAAAACCAACACTTCGGATTGTTGCGACTGGCGTTCGGACAAATAGACACCACTATTTTTCGACAGATACTCAATTATTATGTTCTCCCCCTTATCGAATACGCAGTTCAAACCTAGCATCCATGGCTGAAACACTACCTTAATGCAATGGAGCAGCCTCAACGTCATGTATCCAGATACCTCATTGGAATGCATCATCTCCCATCCGAGCAGATAATGAAACGATTGGGGGTATTCAGCGAACGACATCGCACATTACGTGGCGATCTGATAATGGCATACTTGATTCTGCACTACCCACATCATGTGTGCCGTTTCTTACTGCAACTCAGCAGCAATACATACATGAGAGGTTACTTAATAAAACTTGCAGAACGGTATAGCCATTTTGAGTGCTGCAGGAATTTTTTTTCCATTCGTGTCTGTCACCGGTGGTATGCTGTCCCTGAACCGGTCGTCTGCTCCGACACTAACATTATTTAAAACGTGATTGGATGACGCACTCATCCCCTTACACTTTCTTACTTGGCACTATGCCTATCCTATCCTACTCCGTGAATATACCTTGGATTTCATTGCTGTGAACCTACGTGGGTTGCATGGTCACTGCGGAACAAAAAAGAAATCCTTTTCATACTTAAAGCACTAACTGTTATGTTATTATTTTTTCGACAACTCCACCATATTACCCAACGGGACTTGTACAGCGTTGCTTCTTAACCTGTATAAATTCAGCTCATTGACTTATAGGATAGTAGAAAAGCGATAAGACCGCTCCCAACAGAGCACTGCAGTCATCACCGAGAACAAGCGAGTTCCTATGGTTCAACTGGGCAAAGTACATACGTTGCGTAAGTTAGTCACGCAACGGATCACACACACCCGGATGAACTCAGTTCTCGGAAGGTAATTGAGCAACATTGATCCATTTAGACTTTCGGACGCATATGAATAATTGAGAAAAAGAAGCCGTACTGTTTACAGCTATAATCCAGTGCAGACACTATAGAAGGAATAAGGGATGCTACTGCATTCAATGTCAGCGTTGTGGTCTGTTTGGAGAGCTAATACATATCATCAGTTTGAACTTATCATACAATTATACCGTGTTTTATCATCATGACACTGGAGAGCCTTCGTTCTACGGATAGGTATAAGACAGCTTCATGCAGCCCTATTCCATGCAGTGGCATAAGTTCGCTGAGTCAGGCAGGCGTGTATCCTTCATAGCTTTCGTTTTCAAGCTGGTGAGAACGTTGGATTTTTGACGACCTAAAGCAGTTCGCTCAAATCACCCCAATTACTAGAATACAATCCCGTAAAACATCTAAAGTGGTGGCACTCGGACACGGTTAACAAATATGCTCGTAATATCAATGGTGTAAAATCGTAGTTGCTACATTCTGATTTGCGTGTGACACATTAAACAAATGTTGGCCACTCTTCTTACGCGATTGTTTTGATTTTAGGTACGAAAATGCTTTTATTAAAACCTGTTGAACAAGGGTCCTACCTTGCCCGTTTTATCCATACTAGGACCCTCAGGGAAAGTGGACGATGGTGGCTCCCAATAGATGTGTACCTGTCAATTTGGGATCTCGACTGGACGAACCACAAGTACTCCCCACGACCGGAAATAGGGCTAAGTAGGTTTGTAATATATTTGGCCCAAACTTTTATTATATATGAAGATATTGAAACTAGCATAAATGCACCGTGTGATATCTTTATTTGCGCTTTCTTTTTGAGCATCTCATTTGTTCGAATGTCTAGGAGACTTAAGCAGCTTTGTTCGGGTACCACAGGTTAACCAACAGTCCGTCGTCAGTGATCCATCTTGCAGATAGGCCTCTCTGAGATGCGTTGCTGATATTTTGCTTTCGTTATGCAACTAGAGTCATATCGTTGCAAACTGCTGCCGTATTTCTATCGCATACGCATTTCTAACGTCTACCTACGCAGCTTCACTGTAAGAGCACATTGTTTAGTAGTGCTGACCTTAGGCACTTGATCAAGAACCTCCCGTGGTGCCACATTAGTCGTAAACTACAGGAGGGAATGTACTATAATACTCCTTTTGCCCTTTTCCCAGCTTACCACTTGCTGTATCTCAAAGACACCTGCGACATGGCCCAGTGTTATTCCAGGTACAGCTGAGTCCAAGGCTCCGGGGGGGGAGGAATGCATATACTTAGATGACCATAGTTTTAGCAGTTTGATCTACGATTTTCGGTTTTGGAACGATACCTGTGCATTTCCCACACAGCGCATCAACCGGATCCTAGTTTTCCTCATAATTACTAAGAATAGGAATACTGACATAAGCTCCAGAAAAGCTATCTTGGTCTTTCATAAACATTTTGAACAAAGCCACCTTCGGGTCCTTCCTATCGTGTGGATTTCGCTACGTAATGATCCACTCTTGTCATGGATTCGTCTGTCGTTACGTAGACATTGTGCGGTGAATATCTGTACCCGTAAAATCGCCTACCTGTAACACACTGGGCATGCATTTGCCCCATGAAGTTTCAGATTCACTGTGCCGTGCACATTGGTTTACGTTACCGCGTTCGCTCTTTTTCTTTTGCGGATACAACCGGTACGTACACTTTCATCTAACAGGCAGCATTTGTTGAAATGTATCTAAGCTATTCTTTTGACTCAACGGGGGAAATCTCATGGGCAATAGCCTCTATCTCTGGCACATTGTATTGAGGTCAGCATAGGAAAATTAGAAAGCATCGTAGCTGGTGAAACTAGCCTTAAAGGTTTTAATTTTGTCACATCCAACCTACAAGCGATCAAGCTTAATTGCTCTCGTCTTTCAAACTTGTTGAGATTGGCGTTCGGAAATCATATCCTGCTAAAGTCCAAATTTTTACGTCTGGGTCGCGGGGGTCAGCGTCGGTCTACATGACTGGACCACTGACCTTCGCATGCGCATTGTTGGCAGTTCTGACCACTAGATGAGCAACTGCTCGGCGAGAACTTATAGTTTGGCCATGCTGTAAATTCTCCGCTTTTAAAGGTTTACTGACACAAACGCTTTTGATGACATTTCCTTCAACATTGTTTTGCTCACCTATTGTTTTTGCTGCAATCAGTACTATGATTAACTTTACACAGGATGCTCGGAAATCGCTGTGTTTCTACGCAAGCTTACGAAGATAATCAACTTATCAGGAATAAAGTGAGAAAACGTAAAAAAGGGAATAAATCTATGGTTAAGCATCGTGCGGAGTGAAAAGTTGCCCTCACGAAAATAAACTTGACAAGTATGAGCATACTAACTTTTCTAGTCGGCAATATCCGTGAGCTCCTGGGAAAAGTTTTAAGACCTTAAAGGCATTATTGACTGTCGTGAATGTGCACAACTAGAAGACCTTGTGCTGCAAGAGGCACGGCTCCATAACGATGTTGCAGACGCCGTTGTTACAATTGACCGTTTCATTTGTTTTCATACTGATCGCCCATGCACCTACCGAAATCGTGGCGGCGGTGTCATAAGCTTTAGTAACGCTCCTTGGTGACTTTCGGCGAAACACTTCTTCTGCCACTCGTCATAACGTATGGTCTGCTTGGTCCTAAAGTGTAAGCCAAAACAGTTGTATGGGTACTGTTCTATTTTATTGGCCAATACATATCCCCCAGTTTTCCCAACTCAGAAACAGACAAGATTTACGATGCTTTCACGACCGCTATTATTAAAAAATCGACCAGTTCCTGTGCATATTTGCTGGCTCGTTGCCGGCCCGTAGCGTTATGGATCATAAGCCTGCCTTGTAATCCGGGGGCACGATTTCAACCCTGCACAGGAACCGGGCAACTCTCGCGTTATCTTTAGCGCACGTGCGACAGATGGTGGTTGCGCGGCGGCGGAGCGTCGGTATTGCGTACCGGCGTACTGCTGATGCCATACATCACATTCCTTGCAACTCTCAGGCTACAGAAAACCATTATTATTATTACTTATGAGTAGGAAGGTTTTAGTTGTAATGTCTAAGGTATCCATCCCAATGGGTTAGAGGTAACCTTGGATTTAGTAATTGTCAATAGTTTGAAGATATTTTCGCTCTGCAGTCGAGCACCACTTGGCAGCTCAGACCATTCTATATTCAAGCTATCCTCTTTTCTAAAGTAAGACAAGCCACACGATTTCCACTCAGCGCAATTATCGCAGATATAAATGGAGACAATCCCTTCCTTCAAATACAGTGCGACTGAGAGAAGTGGTTACTTTCACAGACCTTTGTTTATTTATCGACACAAATGTACCAACAAACAGTGACCAAGTGACAAGTAACTTGGAATTCTATTATGATCTCTGCTACCCGAAAGAAACCGTCTCCATCCTCGTTGGTCGGTTTTCTTCCCCCTATCGCAAGCAGCTTCGTATGCTCGAAAAAAGTACTTTCAAAAGCAAAGCTGGTGCTTTAGTAAAGTTCTTTTCTGATCATGCTAAGGAAGAAGTGCACCACCTCAATGAAGCCAAGTCAAGTACGTATAAGCTTTTCCACCCATATGGGCGCATTTTCAACATTTTCTAACACTTCGAAATATAACCCAACAAAGCATCAATGAGAAATGACAATTGACAGTAATAAAAACTGAGTTGCATCTTCAACCAAGCATTCGGTCACGAAAGCGGTGTTTCATTCCCGATGGATCGATTAATAGGCGTTGTAGATAAGACGGGGTGGAGTTTTAATATGATGAATTACTATGATATAAAGCTTCAAATTTCGACCATGTGGCAGGAGTAGATATGGTGCTGGCTGGGATAGCATGTAAAGGGGAGGGGGTCGTTTAAAATCCCAAAGGGAAAGTAGATGCATGCATCCAAATATTTGTTAACGATGAACTTAATGAGATGTACTTTCCTTAATCTAGCGAGAAATCAGTTTTAGCGCACGGACACCAGGAATATAATATTTTTGAAAAACTCCGGGAAAAATAATGGAGGAACAGTATAACCAGCGAGGAAGAATATATGCAGTTACAAGCCCTAGAATTAAACCACAAGGATCTGACAGCATTTTTAGCATGAGAACATAAACTGAGAGCAACCTAACTTTTTAAATGTTTCTGGAATATGTATAGACTACGATAAATTGTGAGCTAAAATGATACCGAGATATTTTACGGTAGAGTTATGCTGTTGACATCCACAGTAATGGGGGGCAATACGTACAATCAGATGCAATCTGTTGGGATGTAAAGCGCAGAAGTTACGTCACAATACTTAAAAAGGTTGAAAAAGCGAGACCGAGAACTCGGCCAATTCACTAGTTCGTCTAACCCTGGTTGGCGTTTCGAACAGTCCTCAATGTTTGGGATTATGTAACTCAGGACGGTGTCACCAACATTTTTACAGCCTATGAAGTTTAACAGAATAGGGAAACATCCCACGTAGGCGGATAATGGAAAGCGCCATGCGATGAATTCCTTACAAAACACCACGATTGTCTCGGAATACAGAGGACCTTCTACCGCATAACTGCGTGAAGTAGACGCCATTTGCGAAATAATCACGCATTACACTACACACATCTGGGGACGCCATTTTCAAACAAACCGTTGAGCAATACTGAACTGTCGAGGCTCCTGAAAAAGGAGCCGTACCCTCTTACATCTATTATCTAACGCTAACGCAATTGAATGCGTCGGATAGGAAACAGCATCCCATGTAGAGCACCATGGTTTATAGGCAAACTGTTTGACATCATCAGTATGATTGCCAGTGAAAATGCAAGGAATCAGTAATTTTTCCAGCACCTTTAAGAGCACAGACGTGCACGTAATTGGCCTACATTTCCGAGATATCTTTTTAGACAATTGTATTATTCTGGCACATTTCCAAATGTCGGGTATGGTGCCAGTCGTTAAGCATCGATTTTAGATCTCTGTCAGCGGTGTCGTTGAAACATCTGCACTTTCTTTCAGAGCGACTGCTGATAGACTATCCGCTCCACTCACCTTGTTTGGCTTCCGTCTTATGAGTTCCTTGTAGGCAATTGTGGAATCAAATAAAGTGAGAGGCTCAGTAGTGCTGAGGGAAGGCAGCGGGAGTGTGATAGGTGATGAGGAGCCGAACTCAGCGTTGATTTTATCTACATCTTCGGTGATGAGTGTCAATACAGTTCTGGGAAATAGCAATTTTCATGAGATTTGGCGAATGATGAAACAGGTCAGAGGAGTCAAGCAACAAAGCACAAATTCTAATGTGGACGTTAAAGAATTAAAGTGCAAATTCTGCTGCACTGACAGTGACTCATTCTCCGCTTCAACATCTCCGATTCATTGGTCTACGGACTTACTGCCTCCTGTCAACGTTGCATCGCAGCACAAGAGGCTAACCCGGCTCTATTCAAGCAAGGCATGCGAACCTGGTAGGCGGCTTCCTGCAGTCTTCAAGTAGTGTCCTGATTCCTTAGCTCACCCTCTGACTGAGGCATGCACAATGTACCTAAAGCAAGGAAAATTCGTGGGCGGTTGTAGGATTTCTAGCAAAACGCCAGTGGAAGAACAATGGACCGGTGAATTTCGGCCTATTGCATCCACCTCGGTAACTTTGAAGGTTTTTAAGAAACCGTTCTTTAAAAGTTCCGGTCCAGTGCCATTTGGATGACCCATTTCAGTTTGCATACAGAAGTTCAGGATCCACGCAAGACCCAGTGGTCTGTCTAGTGCATTCAGTATTTTCATCTCTAGAAAGTAAGAGCAAATCCACACATGTATGCTTCCTCGACTATAGCAACACTTCCGGCTGTGCTAACCATAAATTGCTGTTGTAAGATCCGCAGACGTTCCTCCTCAATCTTTCCTCGTCTTCTTGCTAAATGATTATTTCGCCAAACAAACTCAGATCGTCAAGAGCTTGCCGCTCGTCATAAGTTTCGGTGTCCTTCAAGGAGTCATTTTGTCACCATACTTGCTCTCTACTTACCGTATTTCCATTCATAGCCCAGGAGAAACCATTCTATCAAAATATCTTTATGGCGTTATTATAGACATGGTTCATCAAACCTCTGCCTCTTCATCCTAGCTGCAAAGATGTTTGGAAAAATTTGTGCAATGATGAAAATCTCACTGCTTGAAGCCGAGCGCATCCAAGTGTAATAACATTCTGTTTTTAATTTATAAATAAATTTATACCGGGAACTTGTCTTGGAATGTCCCAAACTTCAGATTAGCCACTATAGACAGTGAAGTACCTTGTAGTTATACTGAGCCATGGTTAGCTGTGTTCACTCCACCTCAGTCAAATATTCACCAATATCAGGTGATCTCTGTTTTACGTCGGTCGATTACGATCATCCTGCGTTCCATATAATTTGATTTTGAAGTTCATCACTTCTTGCATTTTATCACACTAGATCTATCGCTCTCTTGAAGTTTTTCTTGGACTACTCTATAAGCATTTCAAGCTGTTTGACAGGTCACGAAGCACTCGCCTCGCTGCAGCGGCATTCCATATCCCCTTTCAGTTCATGCATTTGTATCTGCGTACATAAACACACGCACTAAACTTGTATCCAAACTACTCGCCAACATTAGCCACCATCTCTATAGTGCACTCATTGCCTGTAAGTTTTCCTCGTCTACCAGACAAAAGTGCAGAGCAACATATACCTGCACCAGGGCATTCCCAATTCAGCCGAATTTCTGTTTGATCAAAACACCATTATCTCACAACTAACCAGTAAATTTAGCCAGTGAGCTTATGTTTTTCATCTGGCTTCTCTTCTCTGTTATTTTTCCGCTTTTGAATTACTTTTCTATCACGTTGATAGTGTTTATGTCACGGCTGATAAATCACCCTTTACAAGTGCAAAAAACGCTTCCCTGACTTGAATTGATTAGCTTTGCCGTGTTATTACGTAAGTTCGATAACTACTGATTCCAAAACAGTAGCGTCGAATTAGAAGAAAGTCTGAGCTTCATCCCGACCGAACCTATTTAGGTAGACACCATGTGGCTGGAGTAGAATAGGACGAAACAGCAGTCCAGCGTTATTTTCAAATGTTATGGATACTTTACCGTGTACAAACTAAGTGAGTCACTAATGTTACCCATTAGGTTCAACACAACCTAACCGACGTGCCACATCACATTTGCCGGTTACTTTGGCTGAAGCCAAGCACGACTGCGCATGACGAAGTGGTGGCTATGTGAGAGCTGGGCAACGCTACTCACGGCTTCAGCAAGAGACCGAGAGCCCGGCGTACACTAGAAGAAGTAACACGAAAAGTCAGTCGAATTTAGTTTGTCTATGATGACCCGCTTTTACTCTCACAGCTCGAAATCACCCGAATTGGCGGCATATAGCATTCGTCACATGCTTGCATTTCTATGTGATCCGTGCACGTCTCAGCCAAACATACTTAGCATTCGGAGTCACTAAGTTTGCTGAAACTTAATAAATATTCGTGTGCTAAAATTGCCAAATAGTGCCCGATTTTCTTCTCTTCGATTTTAGCGGCGGTTGGCACAGAACAACCACAGACACGATGCGGCTTCAGGATCTATCCCTTCTTCCCCACTGGGTAATTCGACGTCCACGGCATCAAACTGGAGAATTTCACCATTTCGAAAGATTTAGATGCAAAATGCGAACGTCGAACAACACATGGCAGATGCCACATCAGACGGATGATGGAAGACTGAGTAACGGCAATCAGATTACGGTTGAAAACTGGGGTTTGGTCAAAACCACTGGGCTACTGGCCCCTGGGCGCCAATGTCGTCTTTGTCTGATGGTGTACCAAGTCGGCCAATCAGTGAGAAGGCTACAACCTGGCTGTCAACATATCTTTCATTCAGCCTGCATTGATCCATGGTTGTTACACCGGTACGCACACTAGACTTACGCAGTGATTCCTTTTACTGTCCGAATTCCTTTTTCACTTTCAGCGGTTAAAGTTGTCCTCCCTTATACGATGTTTTCGATGGGAAATTTGAGAGTATAGGTAAAGTAAACAGGCTAACACCAGGTACCATATTATCAAAATTATGTTTCCGAAAGCTCCGGACCACGTCCGGTGATTTCTCCTAAGATAATTTTCATAAATGACCTCGTAACTGACTTATTGTGCACACAAGTACTAGTTTTGCTGTCGTCTCAGGCGGTCACCAAATGTCGATTTAGCTACGTACTCGCTCACCTATCGTTACGTATTGTGTTGTGAAATTTGTGTCATTACAAATCCCACGTGTCAAAATACAGTCTTTAAACGTTTCCTATCTCTCAAACGTTAGATCCGTTTTAGGCTTATTCAAAGATTCGAAAGCGAAATGCTCCATTTTAATTACGCACCAAAGCATGCGTTTTGTGCATCTCGGATAAAATTGAGCAATAATGTAGTGGCGCGGAAGGCAGCGATCACGCAGGAAACTGAAAAGAAACTAGAACGAGCGAGGGCCGAAACGGGTGCAGACATTATGGGCGAGATCGGACGGGGCAACCCCAGCCCAACCATACGATCAGTGAGCGGAACGCGAGCAACGAACGGGAACGTGCCTGAGTCAAAGAGTACTGAAAACTAATGTGGCGAAAGGCCAATAAATCAGACGGAAACGCCTTTGTTGGTGTATCCAAGAGTAACCCCAAGCGGAAAAACGCAACCGAGATCAAACAAATCAATTGCTTTAGAACAATTCCAGGCCGATCAGAATGCGAGCTACGGAAGCAAAGTTACGAGGTAAGATAGGCAGCCAGGGCCCTCAAAGATGCAGTCAAACGAAGCACGAACTTGACATGTTGTGGTTCCCCAAATGTGTTGTGATGTGGGACGGAAACAAGACCCATAAATGCGCTTGCGCGCAGCTTGTGGAAACCGTGGTCGCGTGCAATAAAGATTGTGCTTTGTTGCCGCTTCGTTATTGCAACAATAGCACATGGTTAAGTACTCAGAAAAATTTATTTTTATCAATGCTTGTCGATTTATAACATTACGCCTTGAAACAAAAGGAATCGAACGCGACACTATTTGTCTGGCAGATTAAGCTGTTCCTTGCAAACATTCTCGTGGATAGCTATTGTTGCCGTTTTCTTGATCTCAAAGCATTCCTCCCTACTGTGATCAGACAACTTCCTAATTAAATCCCCTTCGTACACAGACAAGAATTTCGTTCCAAAAGATTATTGACTATGTTGAACGATTTACTAGGTCTACTAGCATGTTGAACGGAAGACGATGATCTTTGATTGTCAGTTATGCATATGGGGTATGTTAACGTTTGTACACAGTTTACAGACAAACTTTTATGCCTGTGGACAAATGTACCGATTGTGTGCGAAGGAAATAAGCCTCTAGATTGCAAGCAATCGGCACGGGATCATATTACTGATATTGACAACAGCACATTGGACACAGTCTCATATCACTTGGTGTGTAAGCTTATCTGATAATTGTCCTATCGGCTAGACAAGTCAGCACAAACGGTGCAACTGAGTAGTTGTATCGACAAATTCCTAATGTCACTATGCTACTCGGGTAAGCGCAGTAGGCAGACATTATTAAAGTTTTTACGCTTTTTGTACCAAAGCTGGCATTGTGCACACTCGTTGAAATACCTTCCGTCTTCGCCCACGTTTTCTTTTGGTTCTAAGACGTATGTTTAGATGGAGCTGGGAATTATGCAATGAAGATGGTGGCTATGGGCAGGTATCCTACAACTATACTACCAGGCTGTACATGACGCTGTTCACAGGAGGTGGGAATTTATCTTGATTTCAGCGTACTCGGAGCTAAGTCGACTGGTGCAACTGAGTCACATCCCCTGTCAAATCTATAATTTTAACTTTAGCCAAGGACAGAACCGATCTGGAAAAACAGTGTTGGACGGCTAGTCACACCGGAATCTCGTTGAATCGGATACTGTTGCAGAGATACAAATGCGGAGATTTATCTCGGAATAAATCGCAATCCAATCTTCTATCACACTTCTATCACATTCCAGCACAAATCGTGTTTCGGAATCCTGCGTGAACTTATCTTTCGCAAATCACGTTGAATGTCCTCGAATCGCCAGCAAATCAATCCTATGTAGCTAATAGATAAGTGTGACCAAACAACTTTTATGTGACGCCTGCATGCATCAATGTCGTTCATCATCTGTTTCATACTTACCTGCATTCTTCGGGTAGAAATAGCAGAAATTGCACCTGGACCCGTTACTTTACTGTTCAGATTGAGATTATGTGTCGCAATCCAGTTGCATAACACATACTTCAAATGATCTGACGAGTGACGATAATCGTTATGTAAAGTGCTGCTCGTGACTCAGTGATGTAGCTGTACAGGCTTCGACTGCGACTCTGTGCATTCCAGGTTCCATTCAAAAGTATGTGGTGTCTAGCTGATAATGGAAAACAAGCGCGAAACCCATCGTGAAGCCATACGTTGCTAGTCTGCAACAACCAACACAAATATGTTTCGAGTTTGGTCCCGCTGTTCGAGGTTACTTAGGTTTACTTCAAAGGTAATCGCGGTCCATATTTGGATTGTATGTGGCAGTCACGCCACACATTGAAGGCTGTCCTACTTTATGGGAGCGAGACTTGGCGCCTGCGATCTGAGGACCTGCAGTTCCTTCAAGTCTTTGTCTGCAGAGCATTGCCCGTGTCAGCTGGCAACAGCGTGTCCGCAGCGTTCATGTGCGGAAGCGAATAATAGACAAGGACAACCAGGCTAGTTACTTAGAAAAACTGGTCGCACTGAATAAGTTGCTGTGACTTGGGCACGTATGCCTGATCACCGCTTACCGAGGAGGGCCTTGTTTTTTCTGCCAGATGTAGGATTGTGCAAAGCTCGAGGTGGACAAAAATGGAACTCAGCAACGGGAAATGAAGTCACTGACGACCACACTCGGTGTCGTCAGTCCGTCTCGCCTTCCAGGCTGGAGTTCACTTTGACTCGCCTTGTGCTTGGCTTGAGATGTTACAGAACATGGCTCACAGTCGATACCAGTGACCCGTCTGCCGTGGTCTCCTAATTTGACGACCTGTTTAAAAAATGTTTGGTGCGGAGTTATCTCCGATTTAATGGCCGGTTGTGATGCGAGACACTGAAAATCACAAGGGAGCTGTCTCGCCAATGTCGCCTTATCTTTGCACGATAGTTTGTTGTTCGTGACGGTATACTTTTGACAAGGTGTAGGCGTCTTGACCCTGAATGTTTGTTTAGTGCAAATGGTTTTATTCCAGATCCTCCTTCACTTCCTCTTATTGTTCCTCTCTCCCTCGGTTACCCTTGTTGCACGGCAGCGACGCATCATTTCAATTGGCTGATGTACTGTTGTTGTTGATGTCGCGTCACACAATCTGTGCTTCAGTTGAACCCACAGAAGGACGCAAACTGTTTCAAAAACTGTGTTAATCACTTCATAGGGGTCTGGTGTTTAACTACGGGTTGCGTACAGATAAACTTAATCAACTTGCTAGATAAAATCTTGAAGTCATCAAGCTCAGCATTCTGGTCCGTACAAAAAGTTGTTCGTATCAATTGTGCACCCTCGCGGAACAACCCTGTCAGTTGGACAAACTTCCTTTGAGCTTTGCTTTAATGTTTATCTCCGCTATACATTTTTCAGAGTGACTCATACCGCCTAAGCCTGCAGCTTATCCTCGCGGCCTTTCTCGTTTATCCATTGTCCTCTGTCATAATTCATTTTGTCCGCTGTCAGTCAAGTCGCAAGTGACTGCAGATGGAGGAGCTTGGCTTTTACAATTATTCTATATGTTCTTTGAGAATTTCAAATTTCATTACAGTTCGTCAACATGTCCGCTGGACGGAATTCATGTCACGCCCTTAGCTTCTGTCTCTAAGGAATCCCCACTTGGAGAGAACTATATACATAGCAGAACGACAGCAATACTGCCTGAAATACAAGGAGTGAAGTTGAATGCTAGCGACTTTAGGATACACGTGCCAAAACCAGCCCCGAGAGCAAAGTTACTGACAAGTCCGAGGAAAAGGATTGCGGTAAGCCGAATGACTAAAAAATACTATGCATTCATAGTCTATATGACCTACTAGAAAGCGGGTATCCGAATGATTAAATTATTATAATGATGCAGCCATTGTGCTTAAAAAGGACCCCAGCACACCTTGCCAAGTTTGCAGGCGCGATCTAATATGGTTTGCTGCTTTAGGAAAACTCAGATTCACTGCAATCCCTAACACTTGAAGTTTATTATCTCTCATTTTTATGATTGTGCTCAACTTCACAAATTGCATGCGCCCACTCATAAGCAGTGCTGTTTGTGTTAGATTCAGTTATTGATATCCGAAGTCTCGGTCAGAATTTGGCCACTTATAACCTTCTGTTGTTGTATACTATTATCTGGTCGATTGCGCTGTCTGACATGCCATGAACGGCTTGCCATTACAGTCTACGATTTAGGGAAACATCTAGACTTATATACAGAAGTCGATAGTGTCAGACCAAGTAAACATCCTGACTATTATGACAAAGTCGACCTTTCATTTGGACGTCCAATGGAGACTTCTCACCAACTTCTTTGGTCATAGAAGGTTGAGAATACTATGTGGACATTCAAATGTGGTTGTGGCTGCGTTCCAAATCGGTCGAGATCATAATATTGGAAGTTTGTGAGTAGGGTAAAGTTTGTAGAAAGTAGAAGTCACGATTAAAATTCACGCACAATAATATGCCTCGACGGGGAGTCGAACCCCGGTCCACGAATTTCCGGTCCGCTGCTCTACCACCTGAGCTACCGAGGGCATATTATTGTGCGTGAATTTTACTCGTGACTTCTACTTTCTACAAACTTTACCCTACTCACAAACTTCCAACATTAATCTACCATCGCCCCTTGGACATTTGAAGGACAGGTACTTCGGTCCATTGGGAAGTGACGTGTGAGTGAGCCAATCTGCAACATCAGGACAGGTACTGTGAGCCCATTGGCAATACGTCGCGCACCAAGCAGAAGTCATGTGTTAAAATTTGCGCACCTAATCGTCAGCCCTCGGTAGCTCAGGTGGTAGAGCAGCGGACCGGAAATTCGTGAACCGGGGTTCGACTCCTCGTCGAGATCATAATAATCGGTTCCTGATTGGTTTAAGCAGTTTGTGTTAGCTAGTAGCTCTGATCACCGATAACGCAGCTGATTCTACACAATGAACCGAGACAATTACTCACTTTTTACACTACGTGACAGACGTATTTAGTTGTGTCAGAATACTTCTCATGACATTATTTCGTACTTCCCGTCCGTTCGCGTCTATTGTCATTTGTATACTCCACTCACAGTTGTATATCTCCCAATCCATAAGTATCTCACGTACCGCATCTTGAAAATATCTGTGTGTCTTTTACGCCTACCGCTTTGCCGGCTGATTTAGGCACTTGACTTGATTATGCGTACGTGGGTTTTATCCTCTCTCCTCATGTCCTCACCAAACTGAATTTGTAGGGGGCTTGACCAAATGAAAACTCTGATCTCATGCACCTGTGCGTATATAGCCATACAAGATTTCACCGTACTGTGGGAAAGTATCCCAGTCTGTCCGATGAGAGACAGCATGCGGTTGTACCGAATTATCGGAGCACTTTTTGGCGCTCCCAACGTTTTATTGTGGTACCCGTGCCCATCCGGTTAACCAGTGCTGACGGCTGAACACATAACCAGCTAGTTATCTGCCTTCTGCTTACCCACAAAATGCACACTTTATAGGACACATGCTTGTTACTTTCGGCTCAACACTCCGAAAACACGAAAGCTATGGAGGCGATATTTCTAAATATCGATAGTGGCAGGAAATTACACAGCCCCTCTAATTTAAACAGGAAACTGTTTTGCGGGGTAAATACCACATGCGCTTAAAACCATCGAATCCGTGAAACCAAAACAATGTTGAAGCGCATTCTGTCCTCACACACAAAGCTTTGCTTCTGAGCGATAGATTTTACCTAATTTGACTTATTCACAATGTATTCCACAGTTTACTGTGTTCGAAATGTTGAGTCTGGTAGTCATGTTGTTTTACATGTTCCATTTTCACCTCATTAGGCAACAAGTGGCAAGCCTTCGGCCAGTTTCGAGCACAACCTGAGTGTCGTCGGACAGGGTGTAACCGCATCAACCGCGCATCCAGAGCTAGGCTCAGTGGGTATCAGAAAACCAACCCAAGACACATTTGGTGTTGAAAATGCTAAATTCTATACCAATGACCGTTAACTGTTGGCTCTTGCAGATTATATTGCTACCTTTCCCTCAATGGATGTCACCTGACGCATGAAACTACCTGTCTCGTTTTTCAGAATAAGCAAGGATTCCTGGAAGTTATGTTGAATATGCAGCAGGGTATATATACGCCATCTTGCAACTTATCCTTCGTTGGAGGCTGGTGTTTTAAAAGTGCGACTTCGGTGATGTCCACTCTTTCATCATACAAATGTACTTTGAACAGAAGGAAATAGTTTTACATTGTACTGCATTCTTCCTGTTGTGGAGCAACATCTATCTTATTGTCCGCGGACCGGTTTTATATATAGTGATTTCTTCCTCAGAAGTAATCAGCTTACAGTGTATTATAACCTTGACCAATAACTAATTTACCACGAATCTCTTGCCCTTACTTCACTCCAGTGGAGCACTTTATTCCAGCATCCTCTTGATGAAACAGTGTGAAAACCAAAGTTGAATTATTGAACACGCTGTGTGGTTGGGTTGCGACACACAATCTCAGTTCACTTTGAGGTAGACCTCTGTCAATCCGAGGTCAGTTTTAACTAAAATTTACGAAATTACATAAGCATATTTCGTAACATGATTGGAAATTTGGAAACTACTACTGTTACCCCAGCCATCTATACAACAGATGCTCGCAGTATTAATACTTTTCACGCATATGTCTCAATGAAACGAGAAGCGGGCCTCTTGATTAATTCTGATCCCTGCATTAACGATATAAGTAGCAATACATCACAGTGAACCAAGTATTTCATTAGAGAAAGACGAAGGTGAGAAGTTTACGTCACATTCACTTTGGAAACATCTATCTCAGCACTAAACTTCATGTTTTGTCTTCTGTGGCCCGTTTGTGATGGACATCGATGACAGTAACGCGGCTCGTTTCCCGTGGTAACGTTAAAATCTAAGTCAGGGACAAGTAGTTTTAAAGAACTCGCCCATAGTGAAAGAAGTAATATAAAAAAGAAATCACGGGGCGAACAACCAGTTTGATGATAAATAAGTCTTACGAATGGGTTGGTGAGCTGCGCCACGAATGTTTACCGAAGCAAAGACTATGTAACATGTCTCATGCATATTTTGAAGGCCAAATATGAGTAGCGTTTTATCAAAATTTAGCCAGTGTTTATACCATAATGCACACGAATACTAACCGGGTCTATGTTATACGATTTTTCAATCCTGCGAGTTGTCCAACAAGGTTGGTTGGACAAACGACAGACGGAAATATAACTAGTCACGCGTTTCATCAGCTTCATTTGTATCGACATGAGTGATAACGATGAAATGATGGGTGGAAAATGTAAAAAACTAAAATCAACGATAAAGTGATACCGATGAAGTATGTGTAAATGCAAATGATATGATAGACAAAGGGAAAACAAAATTTTAGCAGATGAATGTCCGTAGTTACTCACGATCTGTGAACTACTCATTGCACTCAGCAGATAGAGGTAACAGACTCCCTGGGATGTCGGCCAATGCCTTTGGCGCTATAGTACCAAGTCGCTGCGACCAAATCTTGTCGCAACGGGTATTGACTGATTGGAGACGTCACTTCGGAACGCATTCATTATTTGTCATGAGCTTTGGATGCTGTTCCAGGGACCCTATAAGCCAGCGTTCACTCCAATGTAAATCGCGATTCACATTGAGATTGCGCGTCGCAGTCGATTCACACAATGTTTGCTTCAATATGGCCACTCATAGATGATGATAATCACAATTAGATGAGACAAAACTTGGACAACAGTATCTGATTTAGTTTTTATGAGAACTGTGCAAATCTTTTTAATCGCCATGTGATCCGCATTGTTGTGGATCCTTCCCTACACACTTCATCACACACCGCCGGAGTTCCACTCATCCGATTCTGAACTACCAGTTATATCCTGTGGATCGCCAAGCGTAGGAATTCTTCCAACGCCTTATCACCTAAATCGTTTTACTATTTTTGAGGTAATTTGTCTGCTAGCCGGCCGCATCGGCTGACCAATTTTAGCTGTCGACAGCGATCGAAATATCCCTCATTCGTGCCAAATGCATCGCCCTGTCGTGAACATCGCTTCGGTCGGTAAACAAGATTGCAACTCACACCGGCGGTAATCTGCCTGTACTGCGTTTGGACCGGCATGTGAGCTAAAACTGCTATGCAGTGTGGCGATTTCAAGTCCTGATTTATTGGTTTTATCGCGTTCCCTCACCACCCGCACGGCAGTGTGTAAGCAAGAAGCGAAGTGGCCGCATCCATTCGTCTAAATAGGGTGCGCAGCCGACCAGTCGGAGCAATGCGCGACATTGACTAGCTCACTGTGGTAGGTAGCAACGCTATGCCGAGTAGCAGAAAGCAAGTAAATGTGAATCCAAATGGGCTCCGGTCGAGGAGTAAATGTGCATCCACAGTATGTGACCGATTAGTCAAATTTGGTTTACCCTGCTCACGCTCCTTCAAATGGTACCATCCAAAGTGCGCAGTTTTCCACATACCGCGTGAGAGATCGAAACAGCTTTCAAGTGGATCTCTGATTTTGTACTGCATCTTTGACCATCCCATTATCAAAGACATACTTGTAGTCCAAAAGTGCGACCGGTTAGCAGAAGAAGTTGAACAATGAATGAACGCTAAGACCATATCGTCTGAAACGAGTATGCACCAAGACAACACAGTGGCTTCTACGGACCAAGAAACTCAGCAACCACTCGAAATGTATGATCGATAAAATTCAACCCGTCTTTACAACTTGTATAAATAACAAGGATGGGACAGGCGAAACCGCGTCTACTGCGTCTGCAATCCAAGGATCGCCGGTCGAGTTCAAATCCCCCTTGACTGTAGTCACAAATGCACCGCTAGCTGCAAAAATCCCTCGGATGCTATCTTTAGTGTATCCTCTGTTATAAACACCGCTAATGCGAATACAGCAAAAAACAGTAGACCGTCATCACTTGACCTGAAGTCAAGCTCAAAGATCCCCCGACCTTGTAGCCCAACCAAAAGCGCCTTTAACAATAACGCCTTGACTATCGTTTGCTCAAATGTCCCCGAAATCCATCACCATCACATGGCGGAGAAAGTTGTCTGACGACCAAGACCAGTGAAACGCATTTTAATGAACGGAAAATCCAGACCTACAAACCTAGCGCGAGTTACTTGTCATCCGAACTCTGCACACTATGGCAAATCCAGAATTATTAGATTAACACTGGCATCCGCCATTGATTTAGAAACGTTTAACTCTGTGTAAGTGCGCTACCACACCGGTCTTGTAGGGCACGCAACTATCTTGAGGTCCTTTGGAGCACGTGACAATCGAAAAGAAACGTCACAAAGTACACAATAAATTGGATTGTCCAGGTACAATGTTTATTTATGACGTGTCAGAACTCTCTTCCCACGATAGTCAGGGGACGGTAATCACGATTTGAAACAGGGGCGGTTCATTCGTGAGTTTCTTTAGACAACGTTGTCTCGCGATCACTCGAAAGGACCAAGCATCCTGAAACCGCTGGTTCACTCAGAGCAGACAGCTACTGAAGTGTTAGAACGTTCGCGACAACGTCGGAAAAGCCTTCCATCTGTACTTCGGTTAAAAGCCGCTGGAGCCTTACCATGACCAGACATAAACCTACCTGAAAAAGCAAACCTACCAGCGATACCGCATAGGCATTATTTTACCGCTCAGTTACGCGATTATTCAGTATGTCCGGACGAGAAATGTGACGTACCTTGGCCAAACCATTTTGCGAACGACGTGTCATCACCATCCCATCAAAAAACGAATAACAGTCAACCTAGCATCGGTCGGCATTCTGCAACACTTGACTTCTTTGGCTCCCTGTGGGCTCCTAGAGACCGAAAAACTATCCTACTTTTATACCATTGCTCAAGGCTGTTGCAATAAGCTGGCCGAACTGAACGATTGCCACATTTTGTAGTCATGCGATATAATCGGCATCACGGAGACATGATTACACAGTGAAATGACAGACGCTAAAGTCTCGCTGCCGGGCATATTACTCATGCGAAACGACAGGCTTACGAAAGGAGGAGGGGTGATTCTGTATTTCCGAAATGACATACAAATGCGAATCCGTTTAGGATTAATACTCACAGTTCGCCGATTCTTTTTGCTTCTGCCTGAAATTACGTGGTAGAGACACCTGCCTTAATGACTTGATATACCGCTTTCCAAACTCCACACCGGAAATGGACCGCCACCTTGCGACCGCTTTAAGATGCAGTCTAAAGCGAAAGCACACTTACATCCTTCTCATCTACGATTTGAACGTACACTGTTTAGAAACCCCTGTTACAATTGGAGAACCATGCAAAGCAGATCTGCAAGAGCTCGTAACCAGTGTTTCACTTTGCAATCACGTCATTTTGCCCACTAGTTTCAGAACTGGTAATAGATTATCTTTGATGGATCTTTTATTCATCAACAAAGACCATATGCTTGCTGTATCGATTCCAGAATGTTTTTTGGGCCGGTGATCATGCACCCATCAGTTTGAACTTCATCTGCTATGCGGAATACCGCCACCAGTACACTGAGATAGTGCGCACCATTACACGCTACCACCGCTAAGCCCGGCTTGTCGGTGCCACATCCTGGTCCTTGCTTAAGCCACTCACAAGTCGCTTGGCTCGAATTCCTCAGCAAATTCCTTCAACTGGATAAGGAGGCCTCTGAGACAATGGTTTGCAAGGGGTCTAAAACTGTTCTTTCGTAGACAGGCGAACTCGAAAATGGTGGACTGTACGGAATGCAGTCTTACGAGTGTGTAGATCATCACCAACGCTATATAATTAGAACCCCTACGTAGCCAGCCGTAACAATTGCATTCAACTGCTCAGCAAAAACAAAGTTGCATATCAGCAGAATATGGCGAAAACTTTAAGCGCTAACCACAAACTGCTATACTGGTATGTCAATGACCGTCGTAACTTGAGGCAGTGAAATCCTCCGCTCCGGACGACCGATAGTCCAACTAGCCCAGCTATAGAATCAGCAAACGCGTTGCGTACGCAATGTGCCCCAAAAAATTTCAGCGCAGGCACTTTTAACCTTTATTCAGTCGTGGCCCCCATTTTCAATCGTTCCCTTTCTCATGGCCCACCACTCTTGGTCATCACAAGTTCGGCAATATGCGATGCCTAA